CTCATGACTTCTGAAAGCAGAGTCCTTTACTGCTTGATGAGTGCGATATCTGTCTTCAGGTTCGGTTTGCCATAATTTCGTGAATCTCGAGAGAAGTCTATTGATTCCATAGGTTCTGTCTGATTTCTTATAGAGCTTGACGAATAAAATTATGTCCACGGTAACATATTTTGCCTAAACTTTTTTCCAGTGATACTAAAAATCCCAAACTTATACCCGTGTGACACATTTACGATTTATCAAGGTTCCGTATAAAACACCGTTAACAATCGGTCAAGATAGACTCCAGAAAGCAAATGTTGGCGACATGGCACTTACATGACTTAAATGGAATAAAAATGATGTTTTAGCTGAAAAATCGTCTGACGAAACCTTGATGAAGGGTAAATGTGTCGTACAGATAAAAATTTGGGGGGTTTTTATGTCACAAGAAAAAGTTTAGGTTAAAAGTGTCACACTGACCATAGTCTAGGTTTTCTGATGTCACAAAAAAAAAGTTCAAAATAAACGCGTCATAATGAGTATAGTTTGGGGTTTTTGGTGGTGCCAACATATCATAGTAATTTAGAAAAATTTATCAATTTTTTATTCTAGAAATCCGTGTGTAGTAGTTACATAATATAACTTAGTGTGTGGATTAAATGCATGATCACTAGTATCTAACGGACCTTTCTCATTTCAAGATGTACAAATTTTTTTTGGATAGGTTTTGTCATTTATATATTAGAATTAATAGGATAAGTGCACTGAAAGTCCTAAAACTTATTACGAAAGTCTGATCAAAGTCTTTTCCCACCTGAAGTTCAATGTGTTTTTTTATGGGCAATTTTGACCTGCTCTCATAAAATAATTATATTTCTCATACGTTTTACCTTTTAGACTTTTTCTGTACCTCTAAATGTAAAGATAACATAATTTCAATACTTATTAACAAAACTAATTGACCATAACTATATATTTTTTATTTAGATAATATCTAACCTGACATTTTTAAATAGTAGTTGATCACCTAGATATATGTTAATGGAAGATATTTTCTTTTGAATTTTTTTATTATTTTCGGTAGTTTTCATCTTAGGTCCCATTATTCTTTTGAATTTTTTGACACGCCTACGCCCTTTTTCACACTCTCACAAAAGCAAAATCTTCAACAATCGTAACAAAGGACGCTCCTATTTCGTCCTTCTCGTGGTGTTAAGTGGTGTTGAATGGTTGATTAATTTGGGGACACATGACTAGGTACCTTGTTGCCTTTTCAATATGCAAATGCTCCACATGACTTTTGATTTACGTACATACATTTGCATGAACATCATGCATTTATGACTAGCTTTTTTCTGCAATTTAATTGTATTGATTTCATCCTTTCACATGTGCCTAATCGTATTTGATTTTGCAGTGCAGGCAACGAGCTTTAACCTAGGACCGATGTCTTCTGAGGTGAAAGACTTTTAGTTGGCGAACACATGCACATCTTAATGATGATGATAATGATACATGTTTTGCTTGGTATAGAAACATGGTATATGGCGCTCACCCACTAGACTAACGACGCTGTGTGAAGTGTGAAGTCATGGATTCGGGTCTCAATAAAGGCAAACTTTCTTGCGGCAACATCAGGGAGCTTCCATGCATCTTGATAATTATCCGGTTTCAATGGGATGAGAAGGCTATACGTTGATCTCGAGAGGATCAAAGCGAGTATTTTAAAAGGCTCGGACATAATAAATATTGGTAACCTCATGTAATTAATCGCATATTTAGGGCGCTGGTAAGAAGGTAAACAAAAATTGATAAAAGATATAAGAATTTCTATCTATCAAAGATGAGGAAAGTCAATAATTTTGAAACGTTAGTAACCCAGTCAAATAAGAGTTTATATTGCAAAGCGGGAAAATTACCAAAACAGTCCTAAACCTATTGTAATTATGCCAATTCAGTCCTAAACCTTTTTTTTCTGTCAATTCAGTCCATTCAGCCAATTTTGGCCGGCCGGCGCTGATGTGGCAATTTTTAAATTTTTTTTTCGAATTTTTTTTATTTTTTTTTCCTTTTCTTCTTCTCATGGCCGGTCGCTGGTCGCTAGACTGGCCAGGGGAAGAAAAAAATAAAATAAAATTCTTCTCTTCCTATAAAATACCCACCAACACAAACCTCGGACTCCATCCACAAACACAAAACTACCTTAAACACAACACGTGATTTCGCAGAAAATGAGGTTTGGGTCGTTAATACCGTTGCTCCTCCTGGCCTCGGCGCTCGTAGCCACCGCCCAGCAGTGCGGGAGCCAAGCCGGAGGGGTCTTGTGCCCCGACGAGCTGTGCTGCAGCAAGTACGGCTACTGCGGCAGCACCGAAGAATACTGCGGAGACGACTGCCAGAGCCAGTGTAATCCTAATGCCTCGCTGCCTTCCACACTGACGCCGACTCCCTCCGGCAGCGGCAGGGACATCGGCAGCTTGATCAGTCAGGACCTGTTCAACGAGATGCTGAAGCATCGGAACGACGGGAATTGCCCCGGCAAAGGGTTCTACACCTACGACGCGTTCATCACGGCCGCAAAGTCGTTCGGCGGGTTCGGGACGACGGGCGACACGGACACGAGGAAGCGAGAGATTGCGGCATTTTTGGCTCAGACATCGCACAAAACCACAGGTTTAATGACTTTAGTTTCGAGTCATTACTTGGTCGTTGCCTTGCGTTATTGAAGACTATTTCGTTGGCAAAAACAGATAGGGTTTTCCATTCTATAATGCATGGTTCCAACATATTTTTTACCAAGTATTTTATAGGTGGATGGGCAAGTGCACCGGACGGTCCATATGCATGGGGATATTGCTTCTTGCAAGAGCAAGGCAATCCCGGAGACTACTGCGTTCCCAACCAAAAGTGGCCTTGTGCTCCTGGCAAGAAATACTATGGACGTGGTCCTATCCAAATATCTTAGTAAGTTAAATAAAATCAACCTTTCGATTTCATTGTGTATAGCAATCTCTAATTTCATCGTCACGGTATTTACCTAAACCGAGTCTACTTATGATTTTTGCTAGTGCTATATTACTATATGGGCGTGAATCTGGTCGGTATAGGTTCGGATTTAGGAAAGATTGGTTTGCTCGGATATTGATATGTTTGGTTGATCACGATTTTCCCAGCAACTACAACTACGGCCGGGCGGGGAAAGCCATCAACTACGACCTCCTGAGCAACCCGGACGCGGTCGCGACTGACCCGGTCATCTCGTTCAAGACGGCCCTCTGGTTCTGGATGACGCCGCAGTCGCCGAAGCCCTCGTACCATGCCGTGGTCACCGGCCAGTGGCAGCCGTCCGTCGCGGACAGCGCAGCAGGGTGGGTCCCAGGCTACGGGCTCATCACCAGCATCATCAACGGCTGGATCGAGTGCAGGAAGGGCTTGAACCCACAGGTGGACGACTGGATCGGGTTCTACAAGAGATACTGCGACTTGCTGAAGGTGGGATACGGCAACAATCTGGACTGCTACAACAAAAGGCCGTTTGCCTAGTTCTATTACTAGTTCGAGTCTTTGCTCACGTAGTGGTGATCAATAAGCTGAGATGTACTAGTCCTGCGTATCAAGCTGCGACTGCTAGGTTTTTATCCACACATGAGGAACTAAATAAAGGATATTGACCTTTCTATTATCTCAATGAAACTTGCCGAAGTTGTTCAGCATGGGCAACTAGAATCACAATCTCTGTGCGTACCGCGAACTTACCAGGAAACTAGAGACCCATAACGCTTTAAAGTCAAATTTCACCTAGTGAGGACAGGAATGGAAAATGTGATGTTGGCAAACTATTTGAGCCGGGACGATCTAATAAACAGCAAACACTGTTGCGTCGGCAAGCATGCTTGCCGGCTAATGATTGTAGCTCTCGCGCAGGCGCTTTAGCGGACCGACAATCCACCTCTACGAGCATTCACAAATAGCACATGAAAATCCTAGGAATACAAACTTTAGATCATATGGGAAGGGAGGTGTCACGCAAAGGCTACTTCTATCACGAGGATTCTCCTCCTCGTTTTTCTGGTTGAGTTACTAGATTAAATTGAAGCCAATGAATTGATAAAGATCTACAGAACGAATTCTTGGCCAACACTTGAGGGAAGTCCATGCAAAGCAAGTTGCGAGTTAAAACGGGTCTGTTCATAACGATGTAGGCAGACCCTGAAGCCAACCTTGCAGCGGACCAAAAGCCGAGTGCAAAGTACAAACGCTTCGTAGGACTTCAAGTACAGCGCAAATGGCAATTAGCAGCTACACAGAATCTCCACCCGAACCAGTCAACAGCGATTCCGTGGAGATCGCATTCTTGAGAAGCTCAACAAAATTGATCGCGAAAAGTTTTTTTACCCATTCTTCGAGAAGCAACAAAATGATAACCCTCCCGCCTTCTCAACAATGACAGTAAGAGGAGATAAAGATCTGCCTTGCATGCTCCATTTACCTTCTTCAGCTCACGTATTGGTACAAGAAACTCCTACTGCATAAATTTCACCAATTGAAATAAGGCGATCACATAAGTAGAAAGCCCAGTCCGGTTCATCATTGAGGATTGTCAGCAGATTATGGCCCAAATTCGGGGAGTGTCTCTAGCCTTTTGTTTCAGGGAAGCTAATCAGCCCACAGACTGGGTTGCGAAGGCCTACTGAAATGATTCTCTAAGCCCGAATTGGATTTCCGATCCTCCCATCCTCTTTGGTCTTTGTTATGTAATGATTTTGAACCCTCTTGTTGTATACTCTCAATTTATCAATGAAATCAAGGCACTTTTCCAACGAAAAAAGAAATAAGGCGATCAGATGCATGGTACATAAAGGGATCACATTCATGGTAAAGGATTCTGGTTTCAACATTCGTCCAAGCAGTATACCAAAGGAAATTAAGGCAAGTTAAAAAAATTGCTCATTCCAACATTCGGTTTGGATGAGATAAAGCAGTCGACCAAAATCACAAACAATCAAGAATATAATAAGTTCGGAATTAAGCTTCAAAATCTGGGTAAATTGATAAATAATTCTTGATACTTCCACCAGAATAACAAGGCCTAAAATCTGACAGAATTTGATCTTGACAAGCAAAACTCGAGAAACAAATGAAACTCCCATTTCTATGCCGTTGCATCTCATGACAAATAAAATTAATGCCAATATATCCTGAGAAAAACTCATTATATACCTTAAGGGCAAAAAATTGAGAAAACAGCGATAAAATCTCTAATTTCAGCAGCAGCAGCGACAGGTAAAAGCATCCAAACAGGTAAATGGTTTTGACTTCTCTTCCAGTTCCTGTGCTGTGGGCAGCTGTTCTAGATCATATATACTGCTTCTGGCGCAACAAAAGTGGTACAAATTTCGGCAAGCACCTTTGCTGAAAGGATAAACTCTTTCAGGAATACCCCTGCAGATTGCATGAGAATTGCATAAAGAAGCTGGTATATTGGTGGCCAAAGAAGAAATGGCTAGAACATTGACATGAAGAAACTCTCCTCTACCTATCTAGCTAAGCTTGGGTCAAATGTAGTATTCAGTATTTGGACTTGCGTGTTCAACCAAGCCCATTCTCATGGATAGCGAGTCAAAAGAAAGGATCATGCTATATTATATGATTATGAGTACGTTTTGCATCTTATCAATCATAAGTTGGTCTTGCTGTAGACCTATAACAAATGTCCGATTGAAAACTCTTAGGGAAGGTGCAGTCATGCCCTTGAAGCAGGCTTGAACTGCCATTTCACTTACAGGTTATCTTCGGAATGACTGTGCGTTAAAGAACAAAGCTGCAGCAGCAGCAGCAGCAGCAGCATCATACAGTAGATGTCCACCCCTTCCCCCAAAGAAACCACAGAAAATCCTCTATCGTGTCCAAATAGTTGTTCTAGTGCTTCTGATTTTTTATTTAAAGGTAAATCTATGTACATGCAGATAACAGATGCAACGGCAATACATTCTAGTGTACCTACCTAAGATATGGTATACGTCGGCGCCTTACGAGCTCATAGGTGGTCTGATTCGTTAGAACAAGGTAGCTGCAGAGAAAATGATATAAGAGTGGCAATCTCTAATCAATGCTTTAACATATGAAAGAGCATAAACATTAAGATCAAAACCTGTTAAAATCACATAACCCAGACAGTCATATCTAAAGAAACTCAAAGCAATGACATTGTGACAATTTTCTTACAGTCCAGCTATATTCACTAATTTCCCCATACTGAAGATTAGCACTTCAGCCCAGACCAAAGCCAACCAAACTGTTGTGTATTGGAGCCTGGGTCTACCTAGACTCACCGAGTAAGCTACAAGATAAAAACTGAAAATCCCTTCCTCTAGGATGTCCTCTTCTAGGAATTTTTTGTCGCTATATATTTGTGCTCTTTTGTAGAGTAAATAGAGTTCAGGGGAGCAGGTGTTCAATTTCTGCTGTTGGGAAGAGCAATCTCATATGGGAGATAAGTGGCCTGCTAGGCAAGATAGCAGAAAAAAGGCAGCCCTCTTTGCCTTTCACACTGGAACTTAGATGTAGCACTCGACACCAGAGAGAGCGCTAAAATTCCAATTAAAACAGACAAATAGCCAAACAGACTGAAAGTGTCAAATGACGATCCAAAAGCTGGACACATGCTCAAAGAAGGTTAACTGAATTATTGAATATGGTCAAAGTGAAGACCCAATTAGCACACACAGAAGGCAGCCGAGTTAAAACCCAATAAGCACATACAGAAGGCAGCGATGACCCAAACAACCAAGTAGAGCAGTGACATTAGGAATGTAGCATGTATGACCTCACACGATTGAATGCACGAAAAAGCAGACAGCCCATTCTGGGAAATGTATAAGATCACAGTAGAAAAAATTCTGGCAATGTTGAGATAAATGACAAGTCATACCTATGGAAGAGCAGCAGAAGGAACAAGAAAATCAAGGAAATTGATAGAAAAATCAACAGCAATATCATGAATGCATCCTTCCACCTGACAATAACATCAAAGTTAGAAATTAGCTGAGTTCCCAAAATAAGAATGGATGAAATTGCAATCGAAATAGCATCATGAGAAGCATTTTGATTTCTATAAACAAACTAAACATCACTTCTTTTCTGAGAAAAGCATTATTCGAAGGGATCAAAATATATTTTCACCTAGCTAATATCTACTGCAACTTCCTTGACAGAATGAACAATCTGATATAACTTACCAAGCCCTTGATATGTCAGCTGTCAAGTATGTAATGTACAAGATCCCAGTCCAAAGGCATAATGCAGTCTCTTCACAGATATACCACCTGATATAAGAAATTTTAACAACATAGTAGAAGTGCCATTAATTAACAGGAAATTATATCAAGAAATACTGCTACATGCAAATGTGGGGGATGCATGGTCAACCAAATAGATCAGATCTCTTGATAGCATAAGTATGAGGGACAAATCAGACAAATAGTGGCAATATATTATAAAGTAACTAGGATAGTCATTTTCATTCCCTAATAAACATTTTGGAAACCATTTGTTCATAATTAAAACATCTTTTGAGACGTTAAAGTTTGCTGGAGACATGTCCTCCAACCCAGTATCTACTCTTTTCTTAGTTCATACTTTACGTGATTTATAAAGAGACAAGGCCATGGAAAAAACATTCGGACATAGAACTGGAAACAAAAGTTTTGAACTGCATTTTCTCCATGATAAAACACACAGAATACTTGAGCAAATAGCTAGAAGAGACTATCAGTCATATAAACATAATCGCAAACAATTATTCCATTTAAATTAAACATTCAAAACTGACACAAGCCAAAACATGTGATCTTTGCATTCAAAGAGGAGAATCCATATTTAGTAGTATCGAAAGAATGACCGTCCAAACCTATATGGGTATGCTATGTTAAAGCACATATCTCATAAAGCAGGAAGATATACACTGCACATCACTCACAAGGTAGATGGAATTTTAACTTACCAAAATCGACAATGATTTCCCTGCCCGATGCAGGTTCCTAGCCAGACACAATGGTGATCAAACTGAAGAACACACCTATCGCAATCATGACAATGCTTTGTTCGTGGTGGCTGCAAAAACATTAATTGACAACAACAGGTGGAACTAGTATTACTTCATCAACCAATAATGTCAATAAAAGGAGACAACCATCATTTCAGCTCCACCACTTAGTTTCCTCCCAAAATAATTTCTGCATCATTACATGATCCCGCCCCCCACCCAAAAAGAAATCAAAAACCAAAAGGTTTTAGGTAGAGGTTTTGGCTTTCAACCAGAATTGATATAGAACAAAAATTTAGTTACATCAAGTACAAAATGTAGTAGTGCACAATCAAAAGTCATGAGCCACAGTTAAACCCAAATAATAGTAGCCATACAAACACGCCCTAAATGAAGTATTCTAAAGGACATGAGGTAAGTATGGTCTGGACTTTCCCATAAGGTGGTTCTCATCTCATAGAAGTATATGGAAAAGCAAAGTTGAAAAGAAAGCTTTCTCAAAGTTTATTAGGCAAAAGCATTGTTATTCTCATTCCACCCAGTATCTTAGGGTTTAACATAAAGTACAGCACATCCAAATAGAATAATCAGGGGATCAGCCTTGCAAAAAAGGTGAATTAGCAAAGATTTACCATTCATTTGCATAATTATCCCATCTAACAAACTATGGCATTACTAGGTTGACTTGCATGCGGCATGACAACATACAAGTACATCTGTTCGTATGTGCTATTACTTTAAAGCAGAAATGGTATGCATGTGATGCTCATAGTTATTGGAAGTTCAATGAACTCAACATCAGTAAAAAAAATCTATATCCTCTCCAGAAGGTGTATGCTGACAAAAAGCATCCAGAGTACAGAAAAGTCCTTTAGTTTCACTAACATACTCAACATTCTTTAAATCTCATGCATCTGGAAAGATAAGCTTTTGACAAATCACTAACCTGCTCAACATTACAGTAGGAACAAGTAAAAGTTCTGCAAGACAAAGAAATGATGAGTTAAGCTTGTTCTTGCCAAAAAAATTACCAGCATTGAAGTTTATTTTTTTTCTGCACATACACCCATGAAATGCAACACAATACTGAAGATATCATTTGATAAATCTCTCCACTAATGTGGCAAGAAAATTTTCCCTTGTTATCTTTTAAAGCAAATTTGGTCAAGTATCTAATGACTGGACAGACAGGAAACATTGATTACTTTATATGCAACTGTTGTAACTCAAGCAACCAATGAAAGAATAGAGTCCACTTATATCTGATATCAAGTTAAACAGATATACAACTTGCTATAACTTGGAGGGAATAGGGATGATAAGGGCCTCCTACAACTCAATCATTTCTTCTCTTAATCTTTAATGCCCCAGCTACAGTGGTTATACAGAGTAAGAAACGGCAATGCTAAAGTATGAATGTGGATAAAACTTATTCCCAGAGACAAAAAGTAAAAACTAAGAGACTACCACATGCATACAAGGATTGAAATAACCAATAGATAACAGAATGGATACCAATTTGAAACACAGAAATGAGGATCTTGTGGATGATTACACTTTTATCAAAAGAATCGAAGAAGCTGCAATTGATGATACCCTACCTTATAGACGTTCCGGGAGTATACAAGTCCATCACCATCTTTGACCAAGATGTGGAATTACTTCCTAACAAATTTCTCGCTGACTGATTACCATCCGATGAAACTACAAAGGCCCCATTTTTGCTGGAAGCAGTTTGTCTTTGCTTAAACATTTACGTGAAAGTACAAAGGAAAAAATATTAAACATGAAGTCACAATTGTGATCATCAAGGAAAGAAACAATGGATTAATACTCACTTTGAAGCGATTCGTGAACATGGCATTTGCTTCATTGACAGCTCTCATCACATCAAGGACATATCTAGAAGCATAAAAATATTGAAAGAATCAAGCATATCTATCAGAAGAAAACTGGATAGTCACTATTGCATTAGTTGATTACCCAGGAGAAGAACAAGCTGTCACGAAGTACTGAATCAAAGTTGCCACAAAGAGCAGTAGATATAAAGCAATGTACCTGGAGAACACATGAGCATATAAGATAAGGTGAGAAGAAAAGGTTACAAAACTACTAAAAAGCTTCCATAAGCCATATGAAATCGACTAACCCCACTATCAAAGATGATCAGGTAACTGAATTCCGTGCTCTATATAGCCCATCACGGTGAAGTGCATACTGACCCTCAAGAAAAGAAGATTTTCCTTTTCAATTCAATTTTTCCCTAGATACTCGATAGTGGTGCATAACACTAGTAATAAGCTTCAGCGTCCTTTCTTAGTTATTTCATTGAAGCTAGATATGCAATCCCGTCCGCTAGATACTCAAAAGGGTTTACACCTAAGTTGTATATATAGACATTGGCATAAAAAGGTCGTCAATTGAAAATCCCAAAGAACCCAGCTGACACAGGGGGAAAACCTCGATGATTTTATCTGCGACCAAAATTAACCAATACGTTCTACAGCTTCCACCACAACACTGCAACGACCAAAGCTAGTTCCTTAGCTAATCCAAGAGCAAAATTGACGTACCAGGGCTCCTCCTGCGCTTTCTCTATCAAATCCCCATCAAACAGAAAGAGAACGCCCGCGTAGACAAGATGCAGCACCACCAGCGCCACTTTCAACAACAACGACGACCTTTGAGCTGAAAAATGTCATCACCTCGCCAGAGTCAGTTTCAGCAAGAAAGGATACTAAGAATACACGGACTCACTTCCCCGCGGGTTTCCGCGAGAAATCAGAACAACTACTTCCGCACATAACACACGAAGAAAAAACCGAAAGCCGACGTCGTGTTCAAGCTCGCCAAAGCAAATGCAAGCATCGCGAGGCAGGGATCGGCTAATACCGGGATCGGCGAGGCAGGGGAACCAGCGATAGCACCGCTCGCACGCTCGGTCGCACGCGCCCCGGAGGGGGCAGCAGAAATCCACCATCGCGATCGGCGGGGACCCTCGGATTTCATCCAGAGGCCGGGGCTTGCGCGGTGCGATCGAGCTCGCCGGCCGAATCCTCCCGGAAAGCGCGCTTCTCGCCGGAGCTACCGGAAGAAGATCGCCGCATAGAGATGGCGAAGGACGCCGGAGAGATTCGGGGAAGTCGGTCTGGCCGACCGTAGACGAAGATGGGCACAATCTTCGCAGCGAGAAAGGAAGGAGCCTTTTCTTTTTTTTTTGGCTTTTCTCTCTTTTTTGGATATTTATATATATATATTCCTTTTTTTAAAGTAAAAACAAATGATTGATTAGGCGCTTTAAATGCACATATTAAACACGAGCATTTACTATTTAGTGAGATTTACCGGGAGGCAATCTATGAATTAATTTAAATAAATTGCCAAAAAAAAAGACTTAAAGTATTTTCCGCCTTTTTTCCTTTTCCGTCACTCAAACTAAAATTGGATTTATTGAGTTCCGATGCATAAAAGACACACAAAAAAAAAACAGATTTCATCTTTTTTTTTGTTTGAATACGGTCGTGTAAGGACTAATGGAGATCGTTGAAACTGAACTCGATATTTTTACCCGGCTTAATTATCATTCTATTTAATTCTAAAAAAGAACACACTAAAAATGTAAACGAACACGATTTGGTTGCTCACCTCGCGAGCAAGGGATCCCTCGATATGTGTAATGTAAGAGGAACCTTAAAGGTTTAACGAAATATTACCGTAGGTGAAATGATATTCATCAGCAATTCGAAAGCATTTATAATTCGGATGTCTCTTTCTTCTTACCTTTTTTTGTTAAAAATAAGACGCATTTTACTTCAATTGAATGGACCCGAAGATTTCGACCAAAAAAAAAAATTGACCCAAAGATCTTTCGCTGCTGTCACGCGGACCAGAAATTGCAATGACCGGACAGTACAAGGAGGACAAGTGACAACAAACACCGGTCCTATACCGACCGGTCCAAGCATTGATCCGACAGCATCTACCCTTTTAACGAAGCTTCCACCTGGTCAGAATCGAAAGTCTACCCGCTCAACTAACAAATCCCGACCAAACCCGCCATCCCTCCTGCTCATGTCACCCGAAAAATCAAAACTATACAGAAGAAAACAGTAGATTTCATTGGGAAATTTGTGTCTAAGATGATGGCTACCAAAAAAAAAAGTATGCCCTTTTCTTTCTTTTCTTCTTTTTTTGTAACTTAATCGTTACAGCCTAAATCACCAGTAGTCGCCGCACGAGCATTTGCCATCCTCGAACCGATGGAACCGGTTATTGTCCCGCACTATGATCGCTCTTCCCGTGCACTTCGACATGAGCTTGATCGCCGAGTGGCAATCCCCGCACACCCTCAAGTTTTTCATGACTCTTATCGGCCTATCCGATGGGAAAGTGATCAGACAGAAGGCGATGGCGAGCCTCTCGCTGTGGTACCGGATCGTCCGGTTCTTCTCTTCTCGATCCACCTCTTGCAACACGAAGCTCGTGTCCGCAATGTAACCGGCCCTCTCCATTTCCTCCCCCAGCTCGTCCAGTTTCTGATAGATCTCTTTGGCTTTCGCGTGAGATCGGTCCCCGGAAGTGAATGTGTGGACTCTGTTGCCTTCCTCAACCCAACTTAAACCCGTTTCCTTCTTCACCCCTCTGTCTCTGAGCATTTTTCTAGCTTTGGCTGCTTCATCGTATCTTCCAGCAGCAGCATAAGCATTGGACAACAGCACTTGCAGGCCTGAGCTCACGGAGCCGAGTTCCAAGACCCTATCAGCAGCCAAGGCTGCAAGTTCGGTTTTATTATGAATACGACAACCTGTCAAGAAAGCACCCCACACAGATTGCGTAGGCTGAATAGGCATCTTGTCGACTAGAGACAGAGCGTCGTCCAGTTTTCCAGCTCGGCCAAGCAAATCCACCATTGAACTATAATGTTGATCCCCCGGTTCAATGCCATACTTCTTCATTAGCTCAAAATAGTATTCACCTTCTCCAACAAGCCCCGCATGACTGCAAGCATAGAGGATGCTCAGAAAAGTAATGAAATTCGGCTTCATCCCACAACTCTCCATCTGCTTAAACAGCTCGAATGCCTTCTCCGTGTGCGCATGCTGAGCGCAGGCAATCATCATCGCATTCCACATGCCAAGGTTCTTCACAGGTATCTCGCCGAAAACTTGATAAGCTCCTTCAATGACTCCACATTTAGAATATAATGAGATTAGAGAACTGCCAACAAAGCTCGACGAATCAAAGTTGGTCTTGAAACATAGGCCATGAATCTGCTTCCCCAATTCAAGCAGTGTAGAATTACTGCATACACGAAGAACACTCGAGAAAGTAAAATCATTAACGTCCAAATCCCCCAGCAGAGCTTGCTTAAACAAAACCAAAGCTTCTTCATCCTCTCCCATTTGAGCATACCCATAAATCATCCCGCTCCAAGACACCACATTCCGCTCGGGCATTTTATCAAACATCTGCCGCGCGTCCCTCACTTCACCACACTTGGCGTACATATCGACCAGCGAGCTCCCCACAAACACGTCGCCATCAAACCCTGTCTTAACCGCCAAAGAATGCACGGACCTCCCGACGTCGCACCGGCCCAGAATCGCACATGCCTTGGTGGCACTCGGGAATATGTGATCATCAGGCAAAACGCACCTACCAACCATTCGACGAAAGTACTCAACGGCCTGCCACGGAAACTCGTTCTGGGCAAATGCCGAAATGATCGAGCTCCAAGTCGTGGCCGATTTCCTCGGGGCCTCATCGAATACTTGGCGGGAACAGAAGGGCAGCTGGGATTTGGAGTAGAAGTTGATGAGGTGGTGCGACACGAGAGGGATGGTCTGGATGCCTGATTTGACGATGTGGGCGTGGAGTTGGAGGCCCTTCGGGAGCGATCTCGAGCGGGTTACGGAGAGGAGGAGGTCGCAGACGTTTCTGTAGTTGAGCTCGAAGGTGCGGTGATGGTTGAAGAGATCGTGCGAGGGCCGTGGTGCAGAGGGCAGTGAGGAAGGGCTCGGATGCGAGCGCTGCAGGGTCGGTTCTTGGGGAGGAGTTATTGGGAGTGGGTGAAGCATTTAGTTTCGAGCGACGGATCGGCGACGTTCAGCAGAGCATTGAGACGACCGGTCCATTCGCCATTGCGATCATGCTACTGATGCATTATAGAGTCTCGTGAAAAGGAGTTGAATCTGGGGGCTGTCAAGTGTCAAAAGAGTTTTGAGAGTTTGGGTTAAGTTGGGGATTTTCACGCCCTCAAGGTTCTTGGACGCTCGATATTTTCTCTATTTCGCCTTCTTATTCTTCTTCATATGGGTCTTATTTGCAAAATTTCTAGGGATTAAAAAAAAAGTCTTCAAAACTAATATTAAACGTGTCAAAAGTGTTTCACCGTATCGTATTAAAAAAAAATAGCGCGCCAATTCATTAAATTATACGTGTCAAAGCAATTAGCTTTCAGCGATAGATTGGCAACGCTTAGAGTATTAAAATGACCGGTCCATTGACTATATGATCGTGTTGTTGATGCATGCGAGAAAATTTTGCATGCTCTAGTTGTGCCACGTAATTGATATTTCAATTCATTAGTTGATTTAGTTGATTGCCACGTGTCCAAGTGGAGCCCACTTTTCGTTATTTGTTTGTGATCTTCTTGAAATCGTGAATTTTTCACGACATTTCAAATGCCTAGTTCTCGCTTTCTTTTCTTTACTTCCTTCTTGAAATCCCTGGTTGCACAGAATCTTCCTGAGCAGGTTCTTCGCGATCGCTGACAACAATCGGAAGCGCGGGCGGCGTAGGGCTCCCGGAGGGGGCTAGCGAACACGAGGGCGGTGGAGGTCAGGGAGTTGCATAGGTCGAGGACAATGTGTAGGTTGGAGGAGCCATCGTAGGCGGAGGAAATTTGGGTGAGGGGTAAGGAGGTAGAGGACCTTGGGCTCCCTGAGGAGGCAGCGGGAGTCAAGTCGTCGCCGGAGACGGCGGACTGGTCCATGGGCTTGACGGTGGAGGAGGGAGCGGAGGGGCTCCCGGCGGCTCAACCATTTCGCTTCACCAGTTAATTTATACACTAGAGAGGATTCCATTTAGTTTCCTCCCTTCTTCACCAATACTCAAAAGGATCATGTCCTCCATCATCATCGACAGTCTTCAGAATCACATCATCGTCATGATAAATAACATGTTGTAGTCATTCGCTCCAAAAATGTTGTCCCCGTGTTGGCTCAGCCGTGACAAAAATGGCATTTGAGAAATCTGAAAAGGGTACCCCATTTAAACACGCGACAATTGGCTAATGAATTGGAGTAAGAGCATGCGACCTCTTCCACTTTGAACCTTGTGCTTTTATACGTCGAAATGCCCCGTGCTAACCGATTGCCCACCATCTTTCAATCCCAAACCCATAAAGGGTAATCGAATGATTCATGGGGGCTGCTCCAAAAATTTGGCGAGAGCAGGCACCTTGACGAGGCGAGATGTCTAAGCATCCAGCCACAGCACCAATCCAACACCAGTTTAGTCGGATCGCGGCTATACTTTTTCGAGGCAATGTACACTGGCGACGAAGTTAAGCTAGATTGCTTCGCGGGTTATAACATCCATGTTCAGCACCTGGCATGGACCAAGGATGAATCGAGACAGGATAAATTAAATCCAGTCGAGAAGCTCAGATGAGCAATAATAGGTCTCAAATCTGTGTAGTCTCATTTGAAACTAAAAGTTGTTGGAATGATCTTCAGACTTTCTCCAGCACTGCCTCTGGGAACCCCCAATTCAAAATCCAGTTTCTAGCAGTGCCATTGTCATCAAAGCGGAGATTTCGGCTAAGTTACTCCTAGCATACCAAATTTAAAAGGCACTGAAGGTGAAGCACTGTTGATAAGGAAGCAAAAGGGTAAGGAAGTCAGCAATAGAGTGAAAGCAACGTAAGAATTGACTGCAGATCCAATGACACGGTTGAGATTGACGAGGTTGTTTGCAAACTTTCAGCAAGTCAACCACGATGAGTCGAAAAGTTGGCCAGCAGGTTGATAATAGATTGTTTTTGAAATGAAATAGTCAGCAAGCAAGCATTAATAAGAGCCCATGGAGCCCAAGAAAACTACCACAATGGACGGCTATGGGCAATAGTCATCGTCTCTAAAATCCTGTTCAGCATTAGAGTTCAAATGTAATGGAAACAAAGTCAGCATTAGAGTTGAGCGATCAAAGTCAAACTGAGTGAT